GTTTATCCAAACTAAAGGTGTTTCGGGAACGGCTGATTCTACGGCAACGGTGCTGTTTATCCAAACTGAAGATGTTCGCCGGTTGCCTTCACAATGCTATTTATCTAAACTGAAGCTGTGTCGGTGAAAAAAGAAAATAAAAAAATCTCAAGTTGTTTGAGAGGTTTACGCAGGGCAATTGTGGGTTGAATTGGAGGTCATTTTTGTCTTTGCCACTGCCTTTATTTATAGATTTTGTAATGCTCAGCCACTAAAATAAAGTATTCCAGTTCCATTCTAACTCTCAGCGTCCATATATTGTGATAAAGAACCTTTTTGATAATATCCCTCAAAGTCAAGATTCCTTGGGTCAATGTTGTGTGCTCCTTTCATCTTTGTAGAACACCAATCTAATCAAAGATTGGTTATATTAAATGTCGTGGATCTCTGTCATCCAAATTCCATGTACCAATGACATTCCAATTTGCATCATTATCTTGACTTCAACATTTTCCCAAAACCATGCATCTTGACTATTCAAACCTCATCTTAATGCACCATCCCTATGCTGCTGCTCAATCTGATAATAGGAGTCCCAAGTCCTTTTGAATTGTACTGCTTGCTCGAAAACTTACTTTGCATCTTATTATCCTGTATAAGAAAATATCAAGATAATTTGTTAAACGATAATTATTCTGATAAAAATCATAATATTATCTTTCAATAATAACAAAATTATCTTCACTTTTCATCCGACGTTTGAGAGCTATGCTCACTCAATGGCCTTAATTGTACGGGCCGATGGTGTAAATTTGGGTCCAAACATTGCCCCCCAATTTCCTTGAACTTCGGCTTGTAGGCCGAATGGTTAAGGAAATTAGCACAGTCGAAGAACTCTCGTATCGTCGATAATGAAACTTTTTACTCGGCAACATCTCTGTACTGCCAACGCTATGGTCTTCCTTCAGTTCCTTGGCTGCCACAATTCTATACAAGGCTCGGCCACCTTAATAAATAACCTCTTCGACCATCTCGAAAAAATTTGGACCGAGGAAAATCAAACGCCGTCAAGGGCCAAGATATATAGGTAACCTGATTACCTAATATAATTAGTCGGTCATGCCTATATATATAAAGAACCTGTACCAAGCACCAGTTCGCCGAGCTCGGCATGTACGATACAGGTCGAGGAGAGTTAGGGGTGAAGGGCTGAGGGAAAAATCTTCCTTGACAGCTTGTTCCTTGGCCACGGCCATGCATATACATATACACACACAACCCATTGTCAGCAATCATGACTAAATAGGTAGCCTGATTGATGTGATGCTACTATATATCCAATGTCAGCAACGCATGTGATTTTTGTTCCTGTGGCCAAAAGCATTCTTTCGGTCACTTTGGTCAAAAGCATTACTTCTGAGCTGGCTAAATGGGTTAATATCCTCGGCCTCTTTTGCATTTTTTTTTTTACACCTTCAGCCAATAGCCGAATGACATTTTTATACTCATTCGGCCCTTCCATTCCTTCGGCCAAAAGTTTCTCTCCTTTTTATTTTTTTTATTTTTTATTATATATATATATATAGTTTTGTAAAGTGGGCCGAGGCCGAGACCAAAAAGAATTGGGTGTAGAGCATATATATATATATATATATTTGGATTGCCGCGCTCTTGTTGCCCCCTTTATTTTCTTATGCATCGATCTAAAAGGTCAAATGGGTAAAAAAAAAAAATTATTCATTATATATATATATATATATTTTAGCAAACGAAAATAAATGTGGCTGAATCGTAAAGTGAAGGAGGCCAACTATGTTTTATTTCGGGCCGAGATCTTTTCACATCAAAATTCTCAAATTGATTTCGCTCTAGGCCAAGAAAAGATTTTTCTCCAAATATTTTTGACTCGGCGGAATATTTTTCATTTTCGGGCGCTGAATGTGTTGGACAATTATTATGCCCCCCAGGCATAATAATTTCGCCAATTTCGGCTTTTAACCCGAACAATTGAGCCGAACGGGATTGCTCCATATCGGCTTTATCACTAATAATCATATCGATTGGCGTGGTTTGTTCAACTGAAACCATGAATTGGTCTTGTTCGTTATTGGAACACTTTTCTGACGAATTATTTTCTGAGTCAATTTTTGGCTCAGAAACTTGAACATTTTCTTCTAGGCCTACCACACTTTCAGCCTCGACCGAAAAAATAGGTGGCCTAGGTTTTTCTTCTCGGCCGACCATATTTTCAGTCTCGACCGAAAAAATAGGTGGCCTTTTTTCTTCGGCCAAATTAACAATTTTCTTAGGCCGATGTTTGATTATGGCCGAAGTGGAAAATTGCCCCCTGGTATTTTCAACCAACCATTCCTCAAATGGAATCGATTTGTAGTCGAAAACGTAAGGAAAATATTTTCCATCTAGCCAGGTATTAAATCGAGCCCTATCTTCATTTACCCATTGCTCTTGCAGGGTAACAGGAGCTTTTATTCTCAACATGTAAGCAAATGACTTTTGCATCTCTGTATGGCCACGAAGAATTTTTTTCCACTTCCAAAGATCTTTCGTTCCTCATTGTGTTTTTTCAATTCCTTTAGGAGCTCGTACAATCGACTACGTGGAGCCGGATTGGAATATTGATATATCATATGAACTTTGTAGTTTTAACACTGGGTCCCACTAGGCGTGCCAAAATTTTGACCCTAAAAATTACAAAGCCTATGTGGCACGCAGGTTGAGTAACTAATAAGCTAACTACGTCATTCGGTTGAATGCAGGGCGTGCCAACTTGTCGGCCGAGCTCGGCCAAGGAGTAAAATTTGTTGATGTTGCCTTGAGTGCGTTGCTAACTTCTTTATGTTGCAACTGCGGCCGAGGAATGAACAAATCTCGGCCTTTGGATTCTCAAGCCTGAAGATAAGGCTGCTAGTTCTGCAAAGTTCAACATCAAATTCGGCTCCCAAGGTGCTGAATGTAGTAACCTGGTTACACATCACTTCGCTGAGAAGGCTAATGAGATGACCTCTGCCAATAAGGATTCGAAAATCCTTCTCAGCCGAGACTTGAATAGATAACCAATCGACCTCGATGCAGTGCTGTTTATCCAAATTGAAGGTGCTTCACGAACGGCTGATTCTACGACAACGGTGTTGTTTATCCAAACTGAAGATGTTCACCGGTTGCCTTCACAGTGCTGTTTATCCAAACTGAAGGTGCTTCGGGAACGGCTGATTCTACGGCAACAGTGTTGTTTATCCAAACTGAAGATGTTCGCCGGTTGCCTTCACAGTGATGTTTATCCAAACTGAAGGTGTGTCGGCGAAAAAAGAAAATAAAAAAATCTCAAGTTGTTTGAGAAGTTTGCGCAGGACAATTGTGGGTTGAATTGGAGGTCTCTTTTTTTGTTGCCACTGCCTCTATTTATAGATTTTGTAATGCTCAACCACTAAAATAAAGTATTCCAGTTCCATTCTAACTCTCAGCGTCCATATATTGTGATAAAGAACCTTTTTGATAATATCCCTCAAAGTCAACATTCCTCGGGTCAATATCGTGTGCTCCTTTCATCTTTGCAGAACACCAATCTAATCCAAAGATTGGCTATAATATTTAAGTGTCGTGGATCTCTGTCATCTAAATTTCATGTACCATTGACATTCCAATTTGCATCATTATCTTGACTTCAACATTATCCCCAAACCATGGATCTTGACTATTCAAACCTCATCTTAATACACCATCCCCATGCTGCTTCTCAATCTAATAATAGGAGTCCCAAGTCCATTTGAATTGTACTGCTTGCTCGTAAACTTACTTTGCATCATATTATCCCGTATAAGAAAATATCAAGATAATTTGTTAAACGATAATTATTATGATAAAAATCATAATATTATCTTTCAATAATAACAAAATTATCTTCACTTTTCATCTGATGGTTAAGAGCTATGCTCACTCAATGGCCTTGATTGCACGGGCCGATGGTGTAAATTTAGGTCCAAACATGCTCATATGACACATAAATGGATCACACAAGTCTAATTAAACTAAAAAAAATTACAAATAGGTTTAATAATTTAATAATTAATAAAAAGTTGTGAACTCAAAAACCCAGTCATGCCATCACCTCCGATCACAGTCAACATTCCTCTACCTCCTTTGCTGTCTATTCTCTAAAAAAATCGCAATACACCCATCTTTACACACTTTGACACCGTTCACCGAATTGAACCTAGATCTAGATCACCTTTGGAGACGACTTGGTTGATTGGCAATGACTTCTAGGACATCACTGTTAACATTTAGGCAATCAACATCCTCACAACCTTAATCTTGGAGAGCTTGTTTGGTAGTTCTTCGATGATCTTGTGACTCAAAGAACAGCGAGGTCTACCTTGAGATAATGAGGTTATAACCGAGGTGCGTCTATTGTTGGTTGAAAACTATTTCCAAACCCTCTTAGGCCTTGGTTAAACCTTGTGCCTTTAAGAATTTATGGAAGGGATCTCTCTTCGGAGTGGGTCCTATTATAAGAAAAAAATTCTATTGTGCAAAAAGGTATTTAGACAACTTTTTTAATTAATTATTAAACCCACATCAGCACATAACAAAAAATTTTACAAAATTGTGGCGGAAGGAATTATATTGATTTATGACATCTATTTTTAAGGACACATTCATCGATTTTTAGGGACCATCTTGATGGTTTGAGTCAATTTCAGAGATCATCTTAATGGTGTGAGTCAATTTCAGAGACCATTTGTGATAAAAACTCATAAATCTTATGGGGCCCATTTAGGAATTTTTAATAGAATTGTGACGACATGATTACATAAATTTGCAACACCTATTTTCAGGAACTAAATTGATTGATTTTCAATTTCATAAGGTCATCTTGATAGTAAAGATAAATTTCAGAAATTATTTATGATAAAAACTCTATTTTTTTGTATATTGACATCGCATTCTCAAAGAATGATGCTTTTTGGGTGAAAAGGTCACTAACTTTATGATCTCCATCTATTTTGCTCTGCAGATCAAACTAAAAACAATAGAAAATAAATACAGTACACAACAAACTGCAGACTCTATATATACACATACTTCAATTCGCAAGAAACTAAACTACAGACGACAAAGTTTGAATAACCATCATTTTTTTTGCACCATGAGGAGGAGGACTTCCATGAATACTCAGGTAATTAATCACTCTTCCATTAATTCTACAAATTATTTTTATCCACCAAATTTTAGCTCTATATAGTTTTTCTTCCTTTTTGTTGTGGGTTCCTCATATTGTTGAATTTACAATATTGGCTCTCATTACTTTCGATTTCATCCAAAAATAAAAATAATAAAATAACAACAAAAATTACAGAAATTCCATCATTTTTTTTTTCAATGTTGCAGTTATCTGAGATGGTGATGGCAGTAATATTTGTTGTTTTATTGGCCACAACAAAAGGAGTTGAAAGCCGCAAGGCTCGGAGGGAGAATGCAGGAGGAGAATACTTCGAGTACTGCGCCATAAGTTGCAGAGCCAAAAGTGCTTCTCTGACAGATTATGGAGGAGTTGGCGATGGAACGACATCAAACACTAAGGCTTTTCAAGAAGCAATCACTCATCTGAGTCAGTACGAGTCAGAAGGCGGGTCACAACTCGTTGTCCCTCCTGGTAAATGGTTAACTGGCAGCTTCAACCTCACCAGCCATTTCACGCTTTATCTCCATAAGGATGCGGTTCTTCTTGCTTCTCAGGTAATTACACAAAATTTCCCCTAAAAGTTCCCCTTTTTTTTTCTCTCTTACCAACGCATACGAAATGAACAAAAAGGAACATATGTGGGTCAATATGTAAACATTAGGAATTGTATTTTTTTTTTTTTAAACAAACATTATTATCTACTTAAGAGACATGAGTTAGACTTAGCCTCAGAATAAGTTAACAATAATGTAATTCAAATTCATCTAACATTAAGAATTGTATTGAAGGAGAGAGCAGTTGATCTCGTTCTCATTTCTTCTCTTTCTTTATTACAATGTTCCAATTTATGATTTCTCTCGTTTCAAGTAAGTAAGCATGTCGTTAATATTATTTAAAATGAACTCCTGTAAAATAAACTAAATACAAAAGGGTCGAAGAAAAAGCATTCTTGTTGTAAATCACATTCCTTGGTTCTGAAAATTAGTTTTACATCTGTTATTATGTGGGAAAAAGTAAAAAAGAACAAGAAAAACAGAGCAAATCCGTGGCAGGCATGCAGGGCGATTGTGGCGAGAGGGAGAGAGTCAAAGCCCAAAATAACCTTCAAATTTTTATAAGATTTTTGTGAAGACTTCAGGCAACTGCTATTCCCACGTTCGAGTTTGTTGTGCTATTCACACTTTTATTCCGTCGTCCTGCATTTTAAGTGCAACATTTTATTGTCATTGGGTAGTGATTTTACTTTGCACAACCATTATATCCTTTTGCACTCATACTTTTGTTTCAATCGTTTGATTTATTCAACTTTAAGCCTATAAAAGAGGGGGAGGAGTGCCGAGTGCATAGGGAGAACAAAGAAAGTACGAAAGTCTCCTCTCTTATTTAAATTCCCCTCAAAGAAAACGTGCAAGATGAGATCCTGAGAGTGAGGACACATTGCATTTTGTGTATCATCATTTTTCGGTCACACATAGTATGGTCTAGGCATTCCAAGGCTTTCAGAATTTGACAATAATTGTCGTAGGACGAGAGCGAATGGCCGGTGATTGAACCCCTTCCGTCGTATGGCCGAGGAAGGGACAACACAGATGGTGGAAGATTCATCAGTCTGATATTTGGAACCAATCTCACTGACGTTGTAATTACAGGTAAAACAACCACGAAATTTAATCAAATTATGAATTATACTGCACAGAAAGTTGTTGAACATTTTGATACCAGGTGACAATGGCACCATCGATGGCCAAGGTGAAGTATGGTGGCAGAAATTCAAAAAGGGACAGTTAAATTACACGCGACCGTACCTGATCGAAATCATGTACTCCGAAAAAATCCAGATTTCCAACCTCACCTTGGTTAATTCTCCTTCATGGAATGTTCATCCCATTTACAGCAGGTTTTTTCCTCCATCTCTCCAAATTTTTATTCTTTTTGTTAATGTTTCATGTGGTAAGAACTGGTGAAAGAAGTGAAAAGCACCCTTTTAAGATTTTTCTAATCAAAGAAGTTGAAAAATGCAGCAATATTCTTGTTCAAGGCATTACAATCCTTGCACCAGTGACATCTCCAAACACAGATGGGATCAACCCCGGTAAGCACTTTTCTTAAAAGCAAAATTTGGTTACACTACTATAAGTGCTTATGAAGTTGCCATTGTTTTTGTGCAGATTCTTGCACAAATACTCGAATTGAGGACTGCTACATTGTCTCTGGGGATGATTGCATAGCAGTAAAGAGCGGTTGGGATGAGTATGGAATTGCTTTCGGGATGCCTACGAAACAGCTTGTGATCAGACGGCTGACATGCATTTCTCCATTCAGTGCAGTGATTGCACTTGGGAGCGAGATGTCAGGTGGAATCCAAGATGTGAGGGCGGAGGATATTTTTGCCATTAACTCGGAATCAGGAGTTCGAATCAAAACTGCTGTGGGAAGAGGAGGGTTTGTGAAAGACATATACGTGAGAGGAATGACTATGAAAACAATGAAATGGGCGTTTTGGATGACAGGAAACTACGGATCCCATGCAGATAATGGCTACGATCCGAATGCCCTTCCTGTGATTCAGAATATAAATTATCATGACATGGTTGCTGAGAATGTGACAATGGCAGCTAAGTTGGAGGGGATTCCTGGCGATCCGTTTACAGGGATTTGCATATCCAACGTTACGATTACACTGGCAAAGAAGGCGAAGAAATTACCGTGGAATTGCACTGATATTGCCGGGATTTCAAGCGGCGTGGTTCCTCAGCCATGTCAGGCTCTGGCAGACCAGGGTCCAGACAATGTTACAGCATGCAATTTTCCAGAAGAGAGCCTGCCAATTGATAATGTTCAAGTTCAGGTGTGCTCTTACAGGAGGGAGCACTGGTGATAGACTGAAATATCATATTCCCTACCAGGGAATCTGTTTCTTATGAAGATTGATGGACTATATTACAAAACTATATTAAACGTTTAAATTGAAAAGTTGGATCGATTACTTGGTGTGCAAGGCATGGTTTACTTTTAGGAACCCTAGAGAATGAAGGGAAGTGATTTTAACACTCCCCTTTCTCCCCTGCACTCATTATATTAAACGTTTGAATCGAAAACTTTGATTGGTTTCTTGGTGTGCAAAGCATGCCATACTTTTAGGAACCCTAGAGAATGAAGGGAAGCGAGACAACAATAAGGGGAGAAGTGTAGAAAGAGAACACGAGGGGAAAAGCACCACCCTAAATTTATCGGCCAGTAATCTATTAATGCAAGTTTTACCATAGCAATCTGTGCATCAAGCACCCGGAAGTGAAGCGTTGTAAAGGAAATGCCGATGCATAACAGCTAAACCTGCGTCAAGTTCCCAAACTAGGTGCAACCGAACCATCATCACAGTAAACAGAATAACAAATCCAGGAAAGAAGCAATAATCTGAAATGTGCAAGATCTGAACAAGAAGAAACACGAAACAGCTCTTCAAATCTTTTGATTTTATATGATTAGTGAATAGAAAGAAATTTCACATCCCAATTCCAAATCAGTACAACATTTAGAATCTTTCTGCCAAGCTCGAAATCAGTTTTCAACCACACTTCAATACTGCTTTAGAGTCTTCACCGATATTCATAGGACACTAATTCCCTCGAGTATGTAAGCTCCTTGCAAATAACTTGACCCTAAGTTATAAGCAAAAGTTCTCCGGAGCCAGTCTTCTTAGGGCAAATGGTGATCGATTATACATTGTTAAAAGATGATAAGTTCTTCATAATACATATATCTACAGCCCTAGCCGACATGTTCCTTTAATGGGTTGGGTCTGGATTGAACTTCACTGCTTCTTGCCAGATGAGATCTTTGATGTGCTCTTCAGTGCATAATGGTTGCCCAAAATCAAAATGGAAGGGCCTTGCGCAGATGGGCTCATCATTGTTGTCGTGAAGGGACGACAAGTATGGGTGACAAAGTGCCTCATCAACTGCAGACAGATATAGACCTATAAGTCAGGAAAAGCGTGGACTAAATGAAATCCTTTACTTTGAAAATTTGGACTCATTTCTCATACCAGTAATGCGTCTACTAGGATCGAACACAAGCATTTTTTCCAGCAGATCCACAGCCCCAGGAGACATGTTAGGGAATCTAGCAGCGAATTGTTGCCTCTGGAATTGTGGAAGCTGTTTTGCATATCTTCGGGCATTATCACTTCGAAGAAATCCGAGGCTTGCATCATCAGGTGAACCTATCAACTTTACACAGAAACAATAGAAACACACTATGTTTCATTTACATCATACAAGCATGAATATATAAAGACTGTCGAATAAAAAAATAAAAAAGGAGAACGAAGCATTATTCCGAAAGAAAATGATAGGATAGAAGAGTGATATGAACCCAAAAGCATGTCATATTGTTACGACCATGAACAATTTGCATAACAATATTTGGAACATATCACAAATCTATCTTTTTCCTTTTATGTCCAGTTAATCTAACAAACTTCAACCGCAGATCAAAACTAGAAAGCATGCTTAACTAGCGTTTAAGTTCATTTGGAAGTTCCACTAGTACCTCCGTAATAAGCCTCAGCTGATGGACATAATCTTTCCCAGGAAACAAAGGTTCTCTCGTCATGATTTCACCAAGTATGCAACCAACAGACCAGATATCAATTGCAGCAGTGTACTCTGAACAATTAAGTAGCAACTCTGGTGCTCGGTACCAACGAGTGACAACATACTCGGTCATGAAATCTGTCTCAGATGTTGTTCTTGCTAGTCCAAAATCTCCGATTTTAAGGTCACAGTTAGCATTCAGAAGCAGATTACTTGGCTTCAGATCACGGTGCAAGACATTTGCCGAGTGCACATATTTTAGTCCTCGTAACAGCTGATACAGAAAGTACTACACACGATTCACAAAACATTAATCCGATGTATGACTTTGAACCCCAAAAAGCAAACAAGCCAGATCGCAATGTCCAAAACAGAGAGTCGCATTTGATAAGCGAAGAAATTTTTTATAATTACTAACATCCTGATCAGATGTTATTCATTTGTAACAGTTAAAAAGTACTAAAAAACCCATTCTGATCAGATTTATTTAAGTGCAATTTTTCCTTAAAAATTAACAGTAGTCACAAATACTTAGTACTGCGTGAATTCTCTTCAATCAACATCTATCTCTTTCCTATGTCACGTGATCTCTGATTTGAAGGAGTCCGTGTCTAAGTTTCCATCTACATTTTTCATTACACTTAAAAATGTCCAGATTCATTAAGCATCAAACTTACAGAAAGTGTCAATTAGAAGCCTCAAAAGTATGCAACAAAAAAAGCAATGAACATATAATATATTTACGAGTTTGAACTATCTGACTGTAACGACAAGGTAAGCGAGTATTGATTCCAAACCTGACAATGATCATCTGTTAGTGGTTGATCAGAACGAATGATCTGATGAAGATCAGTGTCCATTAGTTCATAAACAATGTAGACATCATTGAAGGTCTCTGTTTTTGGTGGTCGTACAATGTCCTTGATAGAAATAACCTGTGGAGTGACTGAACTGTAATTCTGAGCAGACCCAAATAGAAAGAGTGATGCATGTAGTCCAAAAGGCAAATAGAAATGAAACCGGGTCTGGCATATGGCTGTCAAACTTATACCTTCTATGCGTAAAACATATTTTCATTCACTAATATATAGCCATTAAAGATAAACAAAACTGTTTGCCACAAGTAACTCTTGGTGGGGGGCTAGTACGATATATGCTGTAGACTGCCACTCAATTTACAGGGTTACCATGGGAAACGGAAGAAAAGAAATGAACCAGACTGCTGAAGTTCCACACAGAAAACCCAGCAAGACAACAATAAGATGTTAGACCCACTAAACATTGAAGACGCTGTAAAGCATCCTCCAGAGTCTTTAGCAACATACGACCATACACGCGTCTTAAGACTTGCTTTCAAGTTTTGTTATTACTCTTAAAAATAAAACTTACATTTTCATGGTCCATGTGGCGAAGAAGCTTGATTTCTCTTAATGTCCTTTTGGCGTCTATTATATTGTCAAAAGCATTACCAATCTTCTTAATTGCAACTTCCTCATGGGTCTCTGAATTGACAGCCGCACTGAAAAGCAAGAAATTGTGTTATCCACCACTTTTTAGCCAAAGATTATACTTGTAAAAAGAACAATAGGGAAAAGCTTTCCCTTCCTCAATAAGCAGTCTTCTACGCCTAAACTGCTCTTCACAGTACATGATGAGCAGACTTCGTTGTATGTTAGCAGTTAGCCGAACTGATATTAAAATACGCATAGAGGGAGAGAAATATAAGCACTACAATGCATTATTGAAACTATATGTTCTCTATCCGAAAATCGAAATAAAATACTCCTCCTAGAATTTGTTCTCATGGGAATCCTGTTCAATGCCATCACCAATAAAACCTCTTGAGATATCACATAATTTTGACAACAAAGTGGCTCGAAATAAATCGATCATGTCGTCTGATTTACAATATATCAAACATTTTGTCTGCATAATAGTCCTGAACATCATTAATAGCACTCAAACTATTCAACAGACCAAACTCATCTTGAAAAATTAAAACCAATTCTAAAAATATAGCAAAACTATCAGGATTTCATGTGGACGTATTGACTAAATATTATCCAACTGATATTGTCCCCAACTTGGTCGACAGGAGTGTCAGTTTTATTACAAAAGGTCTCGTCATGAAACAACTCAATATACTTCATGTTTAATTTTGTCAATTTTTCGAAGTGAGATTCTGGATTCTTCAACAAAAACATCGAACGATAGCAAGTAAACGTACAAATTTAATTTAAACATCAAATCAAAGGTACCCCAGATAGTAAAAGAAGCCAAAGATCAAAACTTTGAAAGCAGAAAGCTTACCAGACAATGCCATAAGAACCTCTCCCAATAGGCCTAATGGGGGGCACGTACTTGCTGGAGACTTCGAACAAGTTACCAAACACATTGTACTGCGCATATCTACCGCCATGGGTGAGCACCCTTTTGATTTTTCCGTCCGACGAAGCAGCAGCAGCTGCAGAGCTCGACTCCTTGGCAGCCATTTTCCTAACTTCCAACTTGTGAAAAAAGCGCTTTTCTCAAAAGGGTTCAAAAACCCCCGAGTGGGTTGCTTGGGGCTTTAATGGCGCTCGTGAATCAGCACAGCAGCGAGGGAATCAGCATAGTAGGTGGATTTTTCGGATAACAAGTAATGGGTTTTGTGTGAAACTCTTCAGTGAAATCCAAGGCAATGCAAAAAGCCAACTGCTTTTGCTTTTACAGGAAGTGCTTTTGATGATCGTGAGTGAGAAAAGTTTGCAAAATCCGTGACTTTTGAATGGGACTTTTCTTGGTTCAAAATTTTGAACACGAAATTGGGAGAGTAACAATACAAGGAAGTTTGGAAGTATAGTCATTTTAGAGCATTTTTAAAGCAGATGTAAAAAAGTTTACATCAATAATAACGGTAAAAAAAAGAAGGTAATAATGATGTTTTTCAACTGAAATATCAATTCCTATATGGCATGATATAAAATGACAGCAGAAGAAAATCTATATTTATTGAGTAATAAATGCTTTTATTAATTTTTATTATTATCCTTTGTTTTAAAAATACCAATTACACTTATGAAAAGTAAATAATAGTATAAATTTGACATATCGGGTTGACAACAAAATTAAAAAAAGATCAATATGCCACATAAGCTTTCAAATTTAATTTTATGTTTAAAATTGAACATCTCCTTTAGAGAACACTAGCAATTGAGCCGCACCATGCCACAGGTTTTAAAAATGGGTTTTAAAATTGACTTACATATTTATGTTCAATAAGGAACAAAAGGAAGTGTTTATATAATATGTTACATAGCTGTTCGTATAGATATAACACAACGGGTTAAGGTGACAGATTAGATATCAAATGAATCTATTGTGATGCTTTTTCAATACCCCACACTCTTTAAGTTCTTATTAGTAAATAACCCTACATGACATCCGAAATCACACACCAATCAAAACAGAAGCAAAAGCTCCCAATAAAAAAATGTGGGAGGTTTCGAGTTCGATGCTCTGAACTGGTAAGTCTGTTTGACTGTAGCCATGGGTGTTAACAGAGCTAAGAAATCTTAGAGAGGGAAAGTATATTCGAGAGAGAAGAGAGAGAGAGATGGAAACAATCTTTCATTTACTAACCAACCTTTACACTCTAACAATGGGTAGAGTAAAATTCTCCATAGCCTCTCCAGACCTGTAAGGAATGAATAACCGTGATTTGTCACCACATGTCTCCTTTTTAAGAGAGAGAGAGAGAGAGGAAAGAAAATAAATAAAAAACCAGAAGCAAAAGCAAAAGCAGAATAGTCCACTCACCTAGGTGAATTGCAAAAAAGCTTCTTTCCTTTGTTTGCTGATTCTGTTCATTTCAGGTTGCACAACAACTTTATAACGATGATGATTAAGTAAGAACGCTATTAAGTTAGCAGCAAAACTAACAACATACTAAATGGAAGTAATGGATTGAATCGGGAATCAATGCATATATACTTGAAATGTTGATTCCAACTCGGTGATCCCTTTCCCACCTTAGTAACATTTAACAATTTCAATTAGAAGGAAAAAAAAAAAATGATAAAAGAAACAAGCATAACAGACCGACGCACGGAGTGAAACATACATAAAAGACATAAGTAAGTAAAGCAGACATAATAAGTAAAATAGACATACATAACAGACTGTCGCACAGAGAAAAATAGAGGACAAATAGAGAGCAGTAATTGGTTTGCTTGTGAGCCTAAGATAAAATAGTTAATCAAAATACAATATCACATATTAATGAGATTGATTGAATTGAACATGCAGAATACATGACAAAGAAAACAGAAGCCAAAAAAAAAAAAAAAAATCCAAAATCGAAATGCTTCTTCATGTACACAACTATTACAGTAAGCCAAAATCATTCATAGTCAATGGATTTTTTCTGGATAGACAGAAAAAACGTAATGAGTATCATATATAAAGTCCAGACATGTTTAAAGAATTTAAAAAGATGTAAACTTTTAAAAGAAGCGTGTGTGTATTAGAACGGAGTCAGGAACTTACAACAATTGAAACACACTTCGTAGATAATTAGAATACCTTAAGAATATAATCAGTTTGAAGTGTATTTTTCAGTCCCTCAACACCTGCAATAGACAACTTCAATCAAAATGATGCGTGAGAAGCAAAAATGGTTGTGTGGATAACAATACTCTTTGATAAAATATGCAACGGATGTACTAGATGCAATGAATTCGTAAGTTTGCATATAACAATGTGTAAAAGATTAGGTATAAGATTGTAATGTCACCCAAACTTAAGAGAATAAAGTGTACTTAACCAAGATTGTAATATCAAATAAACTTAAGAGGGTAAAGTGTAATTTAACCTAGTTGTAGTGCTTATGTATACTGTGTCGTATATAATTCATGCATTAAGCTTCAGAATGCCACTTACGGCAGCATAACACAGGTGTAGCAACATAAGCCCCCCAACAAGTGTCACCAAAATTGATCCACTTCATTCATGCACAACCGACTCAGTACTATCAAACCCCTTCTGGAACTTTTCGGGTCGGTAAACAAGGCACCAGAACCTCCAAACACTAAACCTACAAATATTTATAACCCTAAGTTTCCAACGCAGAAGAGAGAAGAACTGCAAGTTTGACATTAACTCTTGTGTGCGCTTGTAATATTTCAGGGCTGAAGAAGTTGCAATGGAAAATACTGAGACCTTTGCTTTCCAAGCGGAGATCAACCAGCTGCTGAGTCTGATCATCAACACGTTTTACAGCAACAAGGAGATCTTCCTCCGCGAGCTCATCAGCAACGCCTCGGATGCTGTGGACAAGATCCGGTTCGAGAGCTTGACTGACAAGAGCAAGCTCGATTCTCAGCCGGAGCTCGTCATTCGGATTGTCCCTGACAAGGCCAACAGGACCCTCTCCATCATCGACACTAGTGTTGGCATGACCAAATCAGGTACAAATATATATTACACATATTTTAATCAATCAAACATTAGCCGAGTCGCCAAATTGATTTACCAAATGACGTGTCAGTATATGCGTTGTAGTTATACTACACATCCAAACTACGTACTTAATGATGTGCGCATGTTGCCACTTAGTACTACGGTCTAGTGATATTTTTCTCTCATTTGTAAGTGAGATGTCTTAAGTTCGATTTTAGTCAAAGATTACGAGCTTCTTATATTTAATTTATTACCCAAAGTTGTCTAATTTGAAACTAGCAGATTTTTTTTTTTTTTTTCCTTAAATTAGCCTACCTCGAACAGAAAAAGAAAATTAGTCCATTACTATAAACTTTTCTAGCTCCGCCCTTGAATATAATGACGTGTCTGTCTTCATGTAACTTTGAATAATAAAATTTGGGAGACTAAATAATTTATTTTGAAATGATTGATGGTTTTTTTTTTTTTTTCTTTGGGCTTAATTTGTGAAAGATTTGGTGAACAATTTGGGGACAATCGCAAAGTCTGGGACAAAGGAGTTTGGAGGCATTGCAGGCAGGGGTAGATGTGAGCATGATTGGGCAGTTTGGTGTGGGATTCTACTCTGCTTACTTGGTGGCTGAGAGGGTCGTTGTGACAACAAAGCACAATGACGATGACCAGTATGTCTGGGAGTCTCATGCCGGAGGCTCTTTCACTATCAGAAAGGATGTCAAGGGGGAGCCCCTCGGTAGAGGGACAAAAGTCACTCTCTTCCTCAACGAAGACCAGTTGGATTTCTTGGAAGAGTGGAAGCTAAAGGAGCTTATGAAGAAGCACTCCGAGTTCATAAGCTATCCTATTTACTTGTGGACTGAAAAAACTGTCGAGAAAGAGATTAGTGATCATGAGAGTGAGGACGGAGAGGGAGCGGAGAAGGAAGAGGAGGGCAAAGTCGAGGAGGTGGACGAGGACAAGGACAAAGAAGGGAAGTCCAAGAAGAAGTTTAAGGAGGTGAGGCATGAGTGGGAGCTGATCAATAAGCAGAAGCCGATTTGGCTGAGGAAGCCCAAGGAGGTTTCGAAGGAGGAATATTGTTCCTTCTACAAGAGTCTCACTAATGATTGGGAGGACCCTCTTGCTTGGAAGCACTTTTCTGTTGAAGGGCAGCTCGAATTCACCGCCACTATATTTGTTCCAAAACGAGTTCCATTTGATCTTTTCGACACGAGGAAGAAGATGAGCAACATCAAGCCCTATGTGAGGAGGGTGTTTATCATGGACAACTGTAGCTCATGCCCGAGTACCTCGGATTTGTGAAGGGTGTTGTGGATTGTGACGATCTGCCACTTGACATTTCTCGAGAAATGCTGCAGCAGAACAAGATTCTCAAGGTTATTAGGAAGAATCTGGTCAAGAAGTGCATTGAGCTGTTCAATGAGATTGTTGAGAATAAAGAGGATTATATGAAGTTTTACAAGGGTTTCTCTAAGAATATCAAGTTGGGAATCCATGAGGACAGCCAGAACAGGCGTAAGTTGGCTGATTTGCTCAGGCACCACTCCACGAAGAGCGGTGATGAGATGACAAGCTTGAAGGATTATGTTACAAGGATGAAGGAGGGCCAAAAGCACATTTACTCCACCGGTAAGAGTAGGAAGGCAGTGGAGAACTCACCCTTCTTGGAAAGGCTCAAGCGGAAGGGGTATGAAGTGATCTTTATGGTTGATGCCATTGACGAATATGTTGTTGGGCAGTTGAAAGAGTACGATGGGAAGAAGCTCGTGTCCACAACCAAGGAAAGGCTTAAGCTCGAGGACGAATCAGAGGAAGATAAGCAGAAAACGGAGGAGAAGAAACAGTCGTTCGAGAACCTGTGCAAGATGATCAAGAACATTCTTGGGGAGAGAGTAGAGAAGGTGGTGGTGTCTGACAGAATTGTGGACTCGCCTTGCTGCTTGGTGACCGGAGAATACAGGTGGACAGCCAACATGGAAAGGATCATGAGGGCTCAGGCTTTGAGGGACAACGCCATGAGCGGTTACATGGCCAGCAAGAAGATTATGGAGATTAACCCTGACCAAGGCATAGTGGAGGAGCTAAGGAAGAGGGCTGACGCTGATAAGAGCGACAAGTCAGTGAGGGACCTTGTGCTGCTGCTCTATGACACTGCTCTTCAGACTTATGGTTTCAGCCTTGATGACCCAACAGCTTTGCCAGGAGAATTCACAGGATGCTGAAATTGGGTATGAGCATGGACGAGGATGACACCGAGCTAGTCGATGACATTGACGTGCCTCCGATTATTAATGTTAATGTTGGTAAC